CGGGCCCCGGATAGCCGGCGTGCAGCGAACCACCGTGCGGCGAGCCGTACACCAGTTGCCTTACTTTCTGCTCGTCGTCGGCGATGTTGTACGTCAGCTCGGTTTCCTCGAAGCCGGTCGCGGACATCCTCTGGTCGCCGGACGAGCCCGACGGCGGCGGATCCGGGCTGTTGAGACACGTCTGGATCAACGCCTTACCGGCCTCACTCGTGATCATTGGCTGCAACTTGCGCGTCGCGAAGGTGTACACGTGGCCGGTTTCGCTCGCTACTAACAGCATCACCTGTGTCCCGGTCAGCGTCGACAGTTCGTACGCCTGTGAATGTCAAAATTAATATTCTCATTAATATTCCAGCAATAAATTTATCCTGTATTTGATACGAGTTTGTTGTTGCTAAAAGTAATTTTTAATTTGTAAAGTAACATGTACGATGTAAAAAATCTCGGTCTTCTCTCTTTTGAGAAAGAATTTCAAGAAAATTCGAACGACATACGAGCGTTTCAGTTACTGGGACACAAACGGTCACTACTGTAAATAAACACCGATGTAAAATTGTGTGTATTTCTGTAATTAATTGCACCGATTAAATTTCAAGAACGACAAAGTTTGATTATTATTATGACGTAATATTTCAAATAAACGATATAGTGCGCACATACGTATTTGTGTAATGCGATATGCTTTCTAAATATATTCTTCAAACAGATGCGTGTATAGAAATGTGCTCGGTGAAATTGATATGCTGGGAAAAAACAAAGTTTATTTAGTATGCTTTTTTCTTTTTTTTTTAAGGCAATTTGGATGATTTTAAGGAATAAACAGAAAAAAATGAACGATCGATAACATTTGATTAAGAGAAACAATTGGTTCAGTAGCTTGGAAGCCGATCACTAGATCTTTGATCGATAAGCGACTTGCAACAAATTGTTTGTAAGTGAACGTTAATATAAAATCAAATATTTAACTTTATATCGTGGGAGAAAAGATTTCAATTCAATATAAAAAAATCTATTTCTGACTAAATATTATAATTTGACTTCAATGTCCTTTTTAATATTTCTACTTTTCGATTTTAACAATGACAAAGTAATAAACGCGTGCTTGTTGCGAAAGAGAGACACATTTGTTTGAGATATCAAACAATGCAAACGCAAGGATTAAATAACGAGAAAGGTCAGGAGAAAAGAGAGAAGAAAATCGAATCCACAGAGTAGTTGCCTTTCTGTGAACAATCAGTTTTATTTAAAACTATTCTCAGCTGAAAAAAAGACATGTGTCACACATAGAGATGTAATATTATATATTTAAAAAAATTAATTTTGTGATAATTTTTATGCGACACTTTATAACACGAGAAATTGTTGCAAAAATTTGTATTGGTAAAACCAAATGCGTAACAACTGCAGACAGAGAAAGACAAGAGAAAGTGACATGAGAGATTTCAAGAATGTTGATTAACAAAAATAAGTGCGTGTGTGTGTGTGTATAAGAGAGAGGAGAGAGAGAAAGAGAGAGAGAAAGAGAGAAAGCTGTTTTCCATATTTAAATGAAACCAAAAACACAAACACAATTGCAATAATTAAACGAAATATACAAATAAACCGATTATTCTTAAAAATAATCCCAATTGGCATAACTCCAATCCCGCGATTCATTTTACGTGTCGTTCAACGCGGTGATTAAGATTTACATTACATGTCGTTAGTTGGTCTAGATTAAGTACGCTCTCTTCGCGCGTTTGTAAGTCATTCCGTACGTGCAATTTCGATGAATACATCAGGCTCATCAGGGCGGACGTTAATTGCTGGTTCGATGTAACCGCAAGCGCCGCGAATGTTATCGTTTCTCAATCGCGGGAGCGTTAAATTCTCGCGCGCTGTGTTCCATTCAGTGCTGTCATCACCGCGCGCGCTTCGTATATTTATATATAGCATCCCTTGTGTACGTTTTGCTATTATTTTTGCTGTTCTTCGGCGCGTTCTTTCTCTCGCGGCAATCCGAGTGCAACGCATTCCCGTCGCGAGAGATCGTTCAAACGAACATCGACCGACACTTTTTCTACTTGTTAAATGTACGCTCTTTTTTTTTTTTAAATGACAAGACGGCGCCAATGTGTCAAAAATACGTTTACCACGATACAAACCTTCTTCATGATACCGGTCTTCCTCTTGGAAAAAGTGGTGTACCTCCTGAGTTTGTTGTCGATGTATTCCATCTTGATCTTCACCCGACCCTTGGTCTTCTTGCCGTTAGACGGGGGTGACTTTTTTGGCTGACCCAGACTCGTGAACGATTCCTCGAGATTGTCGGACACGCAGTCGCCGGGCATGCCGGCGGCCGACATGCTCTGCGCGGTCTGCGAGAGCGACGGCTGCTGCTGCTGCTGCTGCTGCTGCCGCGCCGCCGGATTGTTACCGCCGTCGTCACCGTAGCAGACATCGGACGTGGTGCGCTTGATGCCCCGCTGCACGGTGCCAACGCCTGGCGTCGCGGCGCCCGCA